ACACACACACACACACACACACACACACACACACACACACACACACAAAATACATTCCATAATAATATGGCTTTCATTTTAGTACTGTTTTTTTAACCAAAGAGTGGTGAGCAGAAAACAAGCGTAAAATGTTTGGAGTAGGTTTAAAAGCATCTGGATTTTACACTGGAGAGGAAACTTCTTCTCTCTTTCTGAAAGAGTAGCTGAATAGACACTGACTTCAGAAAGTGAGGGACATAAAGAAAATGATCACATTTTGACAGGTATGTGCATATACAGTATCAAGCCCACCGGAAACATTGTTATGTGTGTTGGAATTTTATAATTGTAAAGATTATTTGGAACCTTGGGTTAAAGACTGGTACCCTTCTGACAAGATGAAAAAGAATATCTACTCAGGACTTAGAGTTTCAAGATATTTCTGAAACTAAAGCAGTCAATATTTATCTTCTGTCATTATTTTTTTTTTAAATACACTCTCTGCTGGGGACACTTTCTTATTTGAAACCTCAACATTTTTGCTGTGACAGTTTATTTGAGCTTACAGTTCCAGAGAGAGAGAGAGGGAGTCCATATTGGCAGGGAGGCATAGCAGCAGGCGGCTACAGGGAACAATGATCACATCTTTAAGTAGGAGCACAGAGGAGAGAGACTGAACTGGAAGTGCAGTGAAGATAGACACCCCAAAGCTTTCCCATAGTGACACACTTCATCTAACAAGGCTCCACTGCCTAGAGGTTTTGTAATCTCCCCCAAACGGTACTTCCTACTAGAGACCAAGCGGTCAAATACCTGAACCTATGGGGGTCATTTCTCCTTCTAACCATACATAATTTAATGATCTAGATAAATGACTATTTATGCTTCCAAACAACTTGTAAATATCCAGGTTACCACAGAGCATATTTTAGGATGTTACTTTGAGTAGCAGCACTATATCTTCTTACAATAGTCACTTGTTAAAATAAAAAAAAAAATACATGCCAATCTTAGGATGTCTAGTTTCATGAATGAAAGAAACACAATATACCAGGACACATGATTGAATGGGTTGCCCATAGCTTCCCACCAAGATATCTTGGTCTCTCGGTCTCTGTCAGTATATGTTTTCACTCACCTACATTGCTTTCATAAGAAAGAGGTAAAAGAAAGAAAGAAAGAAAGAAAGAAAGAAAGAAAGAAAGAAAGAAAGGAAGGAAGGAAGGAAGGAAGGAAGGAAGGAAGAAGAGAAGGAGGGAGGAAGGAAGGAAAAAAGAAAAGAAGGAAGAGAAAAAGAAAGGAAGGAAGGGAAGAGGAAAGACAAAAAGAAAGGAAAAAAGAAAAGAAACCCTTTTTCTTTTCCTTCGGCACTCTACCGACGTTCCTATTGCCATCATGGGCTGCTGCCCAGCGCGCTGTTACTGTTACTGTAAGAACAAGCCTTAACCAAAGTCTCACTTCTGCCGGGGTGTCCCTGATGTTAAGAGCTGCATCTTTGACTTGGGACAGAAGAAGGCAAAAGGTGATAAATTCCCACTTTGTGGCCAGTTGGTGTCAGATGAATATGAACAACTCTCTTCTGAAGCACCGGAGGCAGTTCGTATTTGTGCCAACAAACACATGGTAAAGAGTTGTGGCAAGGGTGGCTTTCCTAGTCGAGTGAGACTCCACCCTTTCCACGTCATCTGAATCAACAAGATGTTGTCCTGTGCTGGGGCTGCAGACAGGTATGCGAGGTGCCTTTGGGAAGCCCCAGGGCACAGTGGCCAGGGTTCACGCTAGCCAGGTCATCATGTCCATCTGCAGCAAACTTCAGAATAAGGAGCATGTGATTGAGGCTCTGTGTAGGGCCAAGTTCAAGTTCCCTGGCCGCCAGAAGACCCACATCTCAAAGAAGTGGGGCTTCACCTAGTTTAATGCAGATGCATTTGAAGACATGGTTGCTGAGAAGTGACTCATTCCTCATGGCTGTGGAGTCAAATATATCCCAATCTTAGTGCCTTGGACAAGTAGAGAGCCCTGCATTCCTGAGGGCTTCCACAGTGCTCTCCTGTAGCCTACCAAATCATTTCAGTAATAAATCTCACATCCAGTCAAAAAAAGAAAAAAGTTTAGTCTCTGGAAGCATGTTCTGTCGCTCAGCAACAGCCATTATTGCCTCACCAATAAAATGTGCCCAGTGCCATCTACTGCCTATATTTTCATAGACCATAGTTTTCAAACTATTAACAACAACTCACAGTGAGAAATTTATTATGTATCATGATCCAGTACACACTCACTTACTTCCATAGTGAATTGTAAATAAATGAATTATAAAGGTCCAACCAGGAAAACAGAGGGAATTTAAGTCAGGAAAATGGTCACATTGATGATGAAAAACTTATAAAAATCCAATAAAGAAAGAGCTGAGCAGCAACAGCAAGAAATCATTATTCCTCCTAGACTGGGGAAACCAAGGGCTGAGGAAGAACTGATGGAGCTCAGCAGCCAGGCTATCCTAGGTGAATCTGAAACCATGGTGATTCTCAGAGTGACGATGGAGACATGGCCATTGCTAGAATGGTAGGGGCAAAGAAGGAGGGGGATAGCATCTCATGTCCTTCCCTAAAATTTTACTTGACACAAATGTTTATATCTTTAAGAATGCCATGAACTGTTTTGATGCATTTGCGCATCGTGCAATGCTCAAATTAGGGCAACCATATCTCCTCAAGTCATCACTCTGTGAAGTAAAAGCCTCCCAAAAGCATTATTGTTATTCTTAAAATTATCTATAGTCACTGTACTTTATGCCAGAACTTATTTCCCTATCAAACTGAAACTTCATGCCTTGACCAGCCTTCTCTA